TCCTCCTCGTCAAGGGACTGCAGGATTTGGAAGTCAGGCCATGAATCTCTCCTTGAAGTCCCTACCTCGGCGTACGAAGGAACAAAAGTCTCCCTGGCCCCGAACTCCTCAACTTCAACAACACCCTCTATTTCGGCCTCTGTAGCCCGGTCGCGGTCTTCCTCTAAATTCTCCTTGACCTCTTGTTGCGCAGCCTAATCGAAGAGTTCAGACCACCACGAAGGCTCAAAATGCTAGGGGAGCTGTGAGAACTTTTTATATCTTGGAGTGTAGTTCAGAAGAACGTGAGGAGCCCGACCGAACACGTCGTCGTCAACAAATCTCCAAATAGTGACGAGGTCAGTAAATTTTACCAAGGACCGAAGTGGAGGAGCTGTTTCCCGAGCGAAGACGTCTACACAAAAACAAAGAAAGAGGAGAGAGAGAGGAGAGAGAGTTATGAACACTTCTAAAAAATCTCAAAAACAAAATAATAGACTCGAAGAAGCCGACGTACTTGTCGTTCTCTATTCCAAAGGGCATAACAGACCATCGTATTCGGGACTGACACCCCTCTGCCAGGACCCCTTGAAGATCAGCAGGTCATCCTTATATCCCTTGTCCGAGTCAGGAAGNACTCGGGACCGGCACCCCTCTGCCAAGATCCCTTGAAGATGACTAGGTCATCCTTGTACCCCTCGTCCGAGTCGGGAAGGTGAGTTACGAGGTACATGGATGAGTCCCTAGCTTTGAGGTAGAAGTTTTGCTGAGGCATGACCCTCAAGAGGGAGTAGCAAAAGAGGATATCGTTCAACCCAACATTTATCCCGAGATGCTTGTTGAGCTCTAAGACTCCCATTATTATTCTGAAGACATTGAGGCAACACTACCCGGAGAAGAGGTGAAAATGGGAGAGGAACTGGAGGAGTAGAGGGGGCAGAGGGAACCTAATTCCGCCCTCTATGATGGCTTTGGTATAAAAGGGCATCTCATCCTCGGCCTCGAGGGTACGGGAATGCACAGCCGAGTTATAATCCTCTATCTCTACATATGGGGGGATGCGATACTAGACCCTAAACCTATTAATCTGCTCGTCCCCCTTCACTTTGTACTTCCCTAACCTCGAGGAACTAGCCTGAGGATTCTCAGGGGCAAGGCGATGTCGGGGCATANATAAAAGGGCATCTCATCCTCGGCCTCGAGGGTACGGGAATGCACAGCCGAGTTATAATCCTCTATCTCTACATATGGGGGGATGCGATACTAGACCCTAAACCTATTAATCTGCTCGTCCCCCTTCACTTTGTACTTCCCTAACCTCGAGGAACTAGCCTGAGGATTCTCAGGGGCGGGGCGATGTCGGGGCATCTCCAAAAATGATAAAAATTGAGGAAGAAGGGAGGGGTTTTCCCACGATGATCCCCGAGGAGGCTTCCCGAGGGTTGGTCACAGAATGACAATTAGAAACACCTTTGATTATCAAAAAATTAAAAGAAAATAAAAATAGCGAGAAAAAGAAAAGAAGAGATAGAAGGANCACAGAATGACAATTAGAAACACCTTTGATTATCAAAAAATTAAAAGAAAATAAAAACAGCGAGAAGAAGAAAAGAAGAGACAGAAGGACGAAGATAGGGAAGATACAAGGACTCACCAGAACGTAAACGAAAGTTTTTCTTGAAAACTTGAAGTGATTCCTTCCCCTAGGATGTTCAGAAGTAAGGATGGGTCTACTGGCCTTGAGACTTCGGTGAAAGATTGGGCAGTAGACAACGAAAGGGAAGGGATCTCCGGCGAGGTTTCAGACAAGGGCTCTCTGAAGAAGTTCAAAATGGCGAAATGAGAGAGGGAGAGAGGAAGCCCGTTTATATAGTACCCATCTCTATCATTTGGGTACGAAGCACGAAGAGGCGCATTTAATGTGCACGACTTTCTAAGCAAGGGAAAGCGGCTAAAGGCAATGATGAAGTAGTTTGGGTAGTTGCAGAACCCTTCGTCTTCTTACAACGCGTGTCCTCAGTGTCAGGAGATCGAAGGCTGGGGGGCAGTTGATGAGACATTTCCAAATACTCCAAGATGAAGACACGTGTCTTCGGCATCAGTAAATCCTTGTTACTGTGATCATGACACGTATCCANCAGGAGATCGAAGGCTGGGGGGCAGTTGATGAGACATTTCCAAATACTCCAAGATGAAGACACGTGTCTTCGGCATCAGTAAATCCTTGTTACTATGATCATGACACGTACCCATCGGTTCACAAGTCCCTCTTCCCCCGAGGTACTATTCATAGGGATCAATGACACCCAAAACGTTTACATATATCTCTCGGTCGGATATGGGGTATGTCGGTCCCTACATGTACCACTCCCCTCGGNTCGGTTCACAAGTCCCTCTTCCCCCGAGGTACTATTCATAGGGATCAATGACACCCAAAACGGTTACATATCGACAAGTATCTCTCGGTCGGATATGGGGTATGTCGGTCCCTACATGTACCACTCCCCTCGATACCGAGATGTACCCATCCAGGATGATGTTCTCTGCTCCTATAGAGGCTATTGATGTACAGGTCACTTGCCTAGGCTAGGCTAGGTTAGCCATCATAACCTCGTCTTACACAATTGGTGTCAGAAGGCAGAAGACACAACCAATGGAGAATGGGCACGTGGCATATTGTGTCAGATCAGAGACAAAAGACCGAGATGCCCTTGCTGACACATGACTTGGGAAAACAAGCATTCAGTGTACCATTCCCTTGATGAGACATCATTTAATGCAGGAAGGCTCAGAAGTGAAAGGTAATAAATGTCCCTATGACTGGGCATTTATTACATCTTTGCCGAGAGAAACTCATTAAACATTCGACAGGCCGATGACGAAGCATTAGTTTCTCGGGGTCCGGAGCAGTTAAGAGAGAAGACATTCCTCATAGGAATCAGTACGCACGTTGCCTGTATCTAATGATCACCTACTGACCACACTGACAACAATCATAAGTTTTTAAGGTATAAATACTCCACATAAAAGGCAAGACGGTATGCAACAAAAAACCTTTTCTCAAAAAAATACACAATGTTTTCTCCTTCCCCTCTCTCAAAGAACTGACTTTATCGTCGGAGGGGATATGCCGGAAAACACTCTGGCGCCATCCTAACTCATTTTTTTTCTGTTCCAGGAAGCTCCATCAGCCTTACTGGACCGCTCCGTTGATCCACGAAAGTCACCTATTACCGTTCCAGCCACCACCGGACCTCACAGTCTATTTCAAGCAGCAAGGTTGACCATTCGATTGACTGACTCGAGTTCACCATGGGAGAGATCTGTTCTCGTGTTTATATTGTGTAAGATCCTGCGCACACAGTGACCATTGACGAGGACGATGCCGGAGAGTTAGGCGATCACCGGCGATATCTTAATGAATCCTTTCTCTCTTGATTCTTCTAGTTGTTGTAGATCTTACCCAATCCATTTCAAACAAGTATGAACTCTCATGTTTTTTTTCAACTTTTATTTCGTCTGATATTTTTAAGATTTGTATATTATGTGAAGCATAAATGATAGATTTGTCTCTATCTCTCTCTATTCATCATCTGTTTATTCTTTTGAGAGCCTAAATTTCTACTAAATAAACAGTTATATTATTGTTAGGAATGGAGTGCTCATTCCTATAAACTATTTGATAAAATGCCTCTTAGAAAATTTATATTTGATTTGTTGAAATATGAACTATTTGATTTGTTCACCAGGGGAAGAGAAATGGGAGGATCTTGCAATGTTGAAAGTTGAAGCCTTAGTGTATTTAGGCTCCGTATGGGAGTTAAGAGAAGCCTTTTCAAGTTCGAATGGCTATTGCGCATGATCTAAGAGGGTTTCTAGTATTTAGAAAGAAGAAAATTTTGGTGTATGACGATAAGGGTTAAGGTTGCTGTTTTTGTGGGTGTGATGGTGATTGTTTGTTGTTTTCCTTATGGCAGAGTTGAATGACTTCTGGAATTTTAGCACTCTGCCAAGTAAGGCTTGTCTAGGAGGCTGTCTTCTGATGTTTGTTGGAAGAATAAGAAAAGGTTGAGCTTCTGCTATTGCGCTGCCAACTGATTTTTTGGTTAATTTGTTTTTGTTTAGTTGTTGCTGAAATTAGGAAAACATTTTGGTTTTCCTATTATTTGCTTCTTGTAATTACAATTTTTGTGAATAAATAAATTATTGTATAGTGTATGTTTTCATATTTTCGCATTCAATGTTATTAACAATTATGACACAAATAAATATTTTTACATCTAAACGTACTTTTTATAAAATACATTAATTTAATTAATTATTTTAAATTTTGAATATTCAAACAATACTTATTTAATAAAAAAATATTTTTGATAAATATTTTTTAAATTTAATAAATCATTCTAAACACACGCTAAATATATTTCATAATTGATTAATCATATAAAAGTAAGATTGCTCTTTAAGAACAGACAACGAAGTCTCTCCTTTTCTCCATATCATCAACCCC